AAATGCGGGAGAAATATGACCCCGGGAGGAAACCGGGAGAGGGCAATGAAATCGGGAGTCTCCCGCGAAAATCGGGAGGGTTGACAAGCATGGACTATTTTATTTAGAACATCATTATTTACTAATACAAACTATTTAAATTAGAGTGTGTATTTTTCTTTCATATTGCCACACTTGATAACCGTTTCATAAAAGCAATAGCTCACTTCAATTATTCTTATTCTTAAAATCAATGTGGTGTACGTCTTTGATGTGCCTTTAAAAACGGTGGCGGTCTTCAGGTGCTCCTCCAGTGTGCAGGGAGGAAACAAAATCCACCAATCCCCTGAAAATTCCAGGGTTGACTGAAAAGTCATTCTCGTCATGCCCACACAAAGCCAACTCAAAAGCCCCACAAAACGTCATTATTTTGGATAAAATATGCCTGTGTTTATCCAACTCCTCATTGTGTTTCCTCACCGCAATCCTGTGGGCGTCCTCCAGCTGCGTAGCAGTTGCTTACTTGGGGCGATAAAACAATCGCCCCTCTGGTATTAGTTGTGAGGATGCTGATTAGCTCAGGCTACATTTTATGACATACGTTCATATCTTTATTCAGCAATTGGCTAACCTTCTACAGAAACCCGCCTCCGTGGGGCGATTTCTCCATCACCCCAGCACTGAACTTCAGTCATACAGTGCACTAGGAAAAGCGTATATATTGCGCAAATTATTTTTAAATCATGTTTTACACATATTTCTGGGTGCATTTCATATTTTAAACACAAAGATATTGACAATTGATATAATTAATTATTATTATTATTATTAATAATAATAATGTTTTTGTGTGTGGTTTAGGGAGGGCTGCGCCCTATCGCCCCCTATGGGCCAGCCGCCACTGTGTGATTCACACGCTTGGGAAGTAACGGATTACATGTGAAGGGGTTACAGTATGTAATCAGGATAGTTAACTGTATTCCCTTACAGTTACATTAAATAAAGACTTTACAGATTTTTTTTAAATGGGTTTACAGCAGGATTACAGTGTTACAACATATTTTTAAATAAAGAACGAAATATTATAGGTAGACTGTAGACGTAACTATAAACTGCCTGAGTTTTCTTTATGGTTTAAATCTAGGCTATTTTAATTATTCTTTATGTAAAGTAGGAAAACAAAAATACTGTGTATGCTTTTAATTCATGTGTTAAACAAACACATTTGTAAACTATACTATTCTGTTGGCCTATATTTTAAGAGGACACATTTTTTATTCTAAATATCTTGGTTTCTTCTTTGATGTTGTTCTGTTGTCTTACATTGACACTTAAGTAACAAACATTGATGCTTATTTTCCCTTGTATTTATTTGCATTGCATTTGATATTGACGTAACCAGTAACAGGAAGTAACAGAAAGTAATCAGGTTACATTACTTTTATGTTTTGATACTCAGATTAAGTTACTGATTACATTTACATTTTTTAAGTTACTTAATACATTTTAAAAGTAACCCTCCCAACCCATGGTGAATCCCCTGGTGATATAGGAAACATAAAGGGTTGGTTTACCAAAACAAGAAGTACACTTTTTTTCTTCTCACTCACCACTGGTGGTTTTTGATTATCTTTCATTTGGGTTCGTAAGTACAACACATTTTTTTTTCTTGGCAACAGGCTTTAAGTTAAGTTTAACCAACATAACATCCTTTAATTACTTAGGCGGAGACAGTAATCCCTGAGAAAGATAGGTCAATACTTGGACAAAGAAAACCAAAACTTCAAGACTAGATATAAAGATATGATTAATGCCACTGTGTCTCATGCATCAATGTCAGTACCAAGTCTGTATTTCTTCCACTAACACTGTATAACACAAACTTTTGCTAAAAGTGAGAAAGGAATAAATTAGTTGGTTAAAGTGTTCGGTTCCTTTCCATTAAACATTCACAGAGGAAAATGTTTCTCTTCAAGTCTTCTGAAAATATTTGTGTGTGTGTGTGTGTGTGTGTGTGTGTGTGTGTGTGTGTGTGTGTGTGTGTGTGTGTGTGTGTGTGTGTGTGTGTGTGTGTGTGTGTGTGTGTGTGTGTGAGACTGTACCTCCAGCATGGAGCCTGGAGGGTGGGGGGCTGCAGGGTGGTAGCCCACCTCCTGCACCTCATCCCGGGGACGGTCTGAGTTCTTCCCAAAAATAACATGGTCATCGCGAGAGCCAGGAGGCAAGGAGACAAAACAATCACATGACCTGGGTGGTTCTGCCATCCTGTGATGAAAAGAGAAAGAACAACATAATGACATACAAATAATGTTTGCTGAACTACCTCATGTAAAAAAAACATGACTTCCTTATCACAAGGCTCTGAAAACGCATCCACACAACAGTAAAGGAAGAGACCCCCTACACCCCCACCCAGCTTTTTGCAGAAAGTCAGATCCAGCCGATGCACTGCCCATCCCTTTCACACAGGGATTAGGAGCAGCACTTTATTGACTGTAATCTTCACAAATCCCTCCGCCATATTGCTCTATTATCGCTCTTGTCTCGCATTTGCGACCATGAATCGCTTAACAAACCGGAAATACTGTCGCCGAAAAGTGCAATGCTCGCAGATGTAGCTGTGTTTGTTGTGAACAGTGTTTAATGCAGATTAGGCCTAACTGTCCACACTGTCCCGTGTCACTCCGCGGAGAGCAGCCTGACGCTTCGTGTCATTCCGCCTGTCTCTGGGGGTCGGGAAAACAGGGTGGACTTTGATGTATCTGTGAAATAGAGCTATTGTATGAATGCTGCTGTTGTAAATGTTTACCTTGTCAATGGTGCGAGCGGCCGGCCGGCTGAGAGAAGGCAGGCTGGAGATAGTGGTCACGTGACCAAGAAATCCAAAGGTGTGTACTTAAAGGTCTCGTGTCGTCTGGCCACAAGTAGACTGTTCATCTGACACTATGCAGATCAATGTCTGCCTCTCACAGAGCTGGAGGAGTACTCATATCTTGTACTTTAGTAAAAGTAGAAGTACCAGAGTGTAGGAATACTCTGTTACATGTAAAAATCCTGCATTCAAAATGTTACTCGATTAAAAGCACAAAAGTATAAGCATCAAAACATAGGGGAGACCAGGGACAGTTGCAACACTTTTTGGGCTTTTCCCCAATAAGTAAAAAAACATTTACAATAGGATAGCCATTTTGCTATATTATACATTATCCAGAACTCAGTTTTACAGATCCTTAGGTTTGATCGTAATAATCTTAGTGAAAAAACATTCGGATGTTTATATTGATCGATTTATACCCAGTTCGATCGTTAGTCCGTCCAAAGGTCCCCAACTTTCGTTCTGACCACCAGGACCCTGCCACATTGCCTGCCAATATTGTACCGTGTAAATGTTACTACCGAGTAAACGAACTTACTAGTTAACAAGTAAGTTCGTATGTCAACATAACAACTAACCACACGTAACAGGGACATTTTTATTTGTCTTATTTTATGACATGTCATCGGATTTCACACGGACACACACACACACACACACACACACACACACACACACACACACACACACACACACACAAATTTGATACGGTTTACAGTCTTTCTCTCTTCTCTGTCCCTCACGGTGAACGAGACGACATCTCCCGGAGTTTACTTCAACTCTTCCCATTTAAGTCCCTTCACCGTTTCAGGGACCCCATATACGGTACAGTGGGACATGGCCAAGGTTTGTTTCTCGACTCCAACCTCTCAGTCCTAGTGTTTGTGGGGTTCCTCATCCGATGACCTTATGTTTCCACAAGAGTTGTCTCTCCCCTACGAAAACTCTCTCTGATAGACTTCCTCGTCGACTAAATTTATAATACCCACCAGTCGAGTTTCCTCCATCCAGATGTATTAATTCCATCTTCGTGGAGAGTCTCTTGTTAAATTAAGAAGTGTCTCCTACTACGACACCACACAATAGACAATAGGACAAGTAACAAACAACCTCCTACACACTTTGGGGTAATTTTAGAACAACGGAATCTTAAAACTGTCGAAAAGGGATAAACAACAGTAGCATCATCACACTTTTATTCCATTGGCAATAATTGTAGAATGTTGGGACGAACCGTACACACTGTTGACAGGGACATGTGTTCCTGTCAACATTGTCAACTCAAAAATTTTTTTTTTATGTAAAAGGTTGGACATGAATAAAGTATTTTTGTAGAATTATGTAAACAAAGTCATNGTTTTTTTAAGATAATTTGGTTTTATCCTCTTAAAAAGCCAGTTGTAATGTAAAAGTTTTACCGAGGGACAAGACATTTTGACCATATTTAACAGATATACAATACAAAAATCTTTAAAATAAAAAAATATATAAATGTATGAATTTTTTAAATGAACTTTATTTGTTTACCATATAATAACAACTACATTTGTTTATTTTCTGATGTTAATACAGCTTTTATACAGCTTAATGGGGTAGTTTTTGTGTCAGGGACACAAAATGGCACGTTTTCATAGAATGATCCGTCCAGTAAACAACTTTTTCCATGCACCTCACTCTGACCATCTGAAGTATCTCCTATGACAGATCTACCTCCCCCTAAACTCCGAGGGCTTTGATGACAGAGGTCCGTCAAGTATTTTGAGGTCTGCATGACACGTCATCAAAGCAGGTCTGTTCTATAGCACTGCTGCCACCGCTGTGTTGCTCTTGCATGTCCTTGACAGCGTGCGTGTGACAAAACAGAGGCAGACACCCTTAAAGATAAGCGTGAACATCTCTCTGCGTATGGAGGGAAAATGTTGGCCCAACTGTAAGAGAGCGCGAGGCACAGGCAGAGAGATTGAGTGAAGATGAATAAAGGATTGGTGACATTTATAACCTGAGCGATGGCACATCATACGCATCTCTTCTGTCACAAGCTGGAGGACAGATGGAGTGAAATAGACTGGGGATAAAGAAAATAGTTTTTTCGAGTGAATGGGCATGATCGAACAACAAAGCCGGTTACAGAGGGAGAACATGAGCATTTCAACACGAGTGTCTCTTTAATGTAGTGAGAACCATATTGTACGGGCTCAGGTGGGCTAACCTGCCCTTCAGTGCTTCCCTGCATCCCTTTTTCCTCACAACCTCCCACACCTTGGATCTGCTTTTCATAATCTCCCCAAGCAGGGATGTGTTGCTGGCATCTGAAAAAGAACGAGCATGCTGGCCGATAGAACATTTATTTCTCGGTGTACTACCTTTCTGATAGTCAGTCTTTGTAACCATAGCAACAGGTGGCTGACTAAGAACCCCTGCTTTTGTAACAGGTTGCAATGGCTTGGCCAAGGATATGGCAGGATACGTTCATTTCCACAGAGGATGTGCGATGGGTTTATCCTGCAAGACTTTGAAACTACACTGAAGCTGGGAACACTCTGTAGAACAAAGTCAGCTTTTAATGCTCAAGGGTTGTAATTTACATATCATAACCTTGAATGTAAATAGGTCCCGGGTTAACGTAGGAAACGCCTTTTAAGTGAAGTTTAATTAAAATCGATTCAACATGGATATCAATCTCAACAAATGCAATGAACAGATCCGTCCATCTGTCCTTTGTTCCTCCACACTTCACATCTATCCAACTACGGAAAAACAAATGAGTTTCCTCTGAACAGAAACTGCTGTAGGGCAATGTTTTGAACAGGTCCTTGTAGTGTTAGCATCATATATTCCACAAGGACACACACCTATACACTGTATACTGTACATAAGCATTGAAAAAGTAGCGGCTGTTAAAGGGTGAAAACAACATAGCATAGTATTCAACTTTTTCATGTGTGCTGGTTTGGAGTCAACAGAAAGTAACTTATTGATAGAAGTTTTCTAGTTTAAAGGGGACCTATCATGCAAAATGCACTTTTTGATGTCTTTTATACATAAATATGTGTCCCCGGTGTGTCAGGGAACTCACGCAGCGTCAGAAAATAAAACCCTCTCTCTTTTCCTTCGTACCCAAATCTCTAAAAACGGGGCTACAACGGAGCTGATCCAGATTTGCCGCCAATATGACGTCAAATTGGCGGCAGAGCCACAGCACTATCAGAAACGTTGCTATCAGAAACAATGCCCGACTGTTTTGGATGTAATATGGTCGGTGTTTACATTAGCATCGCTAACACTCAGAGCTAACCTGTACTGCACAGAGCATGTGTGTGAAGAAGCAGGAAATAAAAAGGAACTNCTTTGTGGTACAAGGGCAGTTGTCCACATGCCCCAGCACGGTTGTAACATGTTAATAACGGTTAGCTTTTTTCACACTACTACATGACAACAAATAGGGAAAGCTGTCAAATTCTAAGGCAACAAGATTTGAATGGGGTTTCACACATCCTCCAACAAACAATGAACAATGAACAGGATAACAGATAACACACACAGCATCATCCTATGTGAAGGATTAAACTGTTCTCTGAGAGGTGCTTCTACCTTAATTATGTAGACCTACCTCCTTTGAGCTGAAACCACAATATAAATCAGCTGCCTCCATCAGGTAGTCTCTCAAAAGCATCTCCTGCTCTGTTGAGAACACCTTCTTTGGTATCCAGTAGCCTACTCTTGGGGGTGTTTGTGATCCCTGACTCTCCAACCTCAGCCTCTTTGTATGGAACCGGTACAGGTTGACATGGCATATATCCAGGGACTTTGCCACTTCCCTGAATGATTTGCCCTTCTCAACTTCATTTGAGGCCCTCTGCAGCAGAGCAAGTGGCACTCCCCTGTCTGTCTTCCTCTTTCTGACATTTGGCATAGTTTAAACACACACACACACACACACACACACACACACACACACACACACACACACACACACACACACACACACACACACACACACACACACACACACACACACACACACTTTAGGCCTACTGTACAGTATTTTATTCTGTTTATTTTTACAGGGACAATGCACACCAATCAACAATACAACTGTATGCTTGAATGAACAATTGATAATTCAAGCAAATGAGCCATCATTGTAAATGTGCCATGTTACAACCGTCCCGTTACAACCGTCCCAGGACCACCAGTCTTGCTTTCACCCCCTGTGAACCTGCCTGATTGCTAGCTTGACCCATATTTAGCTAGTTATATTTGTAGCTTACAAAAAAGTGATTCTAATAATGCTAGTTTGGATTCCTAGACATTTGAACTCAAGACAGTATCCAAAAAATACATCATATCATTTTAGTTAATATTTTACCTCAGAAACACACTTTTGCTGATATCTTACGCGAGAAATTCAAACGTGGCTCCTTTTTTTCTCAGCGATCTTACCATCTAACTGCGCATGTGCAGAGTGAGTTTCATCACTCTAGCTTGTTTGTGATTGGAGATATTGAAGGTGTTACAACCGACCCATGTTACAACTGTCCCTGGTCTCCAAAGTAGCCTACCAAAAGTAAAATCAGTGGTGTACAGGAACTAAGTATATTTATTAAAGTACTGTACTTAAGTACAATTTTGGGGTACTTGTAGTTTACTTGATTATTATTATTATTATATTATTATTTTGTTTAAATTAAATGGTTTGCTACTTTGTACTTCTACCCCACTATATAATTCAGAGGTAAATGGTGTACTTTTACTCCATTACATTTATTTAATACCTTTAGTTACTGTGAAGATTTGAATTAATGATGTGAAATATAATCAATATTTAAATAAGACACTCTGGTACTTCTACTTTTACTTATATAGAAGTTCTGAGTACTTCTCCCACCTCTGAGTAAAAGTAGGCCTACTCGTTGTGCAGATTGGTCCATTTCAGAATAATATATATGATATGTTTTATAATGATTGATCATTAAAGTGTTCTCAAAGCTGGTAAAGGTGTTGCTAGTTTGAATGACTTTGTATACTGCAGGGTAGCTTGTGGATTGACTCCAGGTGGAACTAAAGTCTGATTTAAGAGATGATTATATTTCACATCATTCATCCAGATCTGTGAACTAACTAAAGTAGTGGAGTGGGTAGAACTTAGAAGTAAAAAGTAGTAAGAAATTGAAATAATAATATAATAATAATCAAATAAAGTACAATTTCCTCCAAATTCTACTTAAGTACAGTACTTGAGTAAGTCTACTTAGTTACTTTTCACCACTGCTTACAGGAGTTCAGTCACAGCCTGCGACACGGTGCTGCTGTTCTTCAGGAGTCTGCCCACAGCTCACACTGCTTATAATGCTTAAAATAACATGTACATATTTGACTTCTTCCTGACTTTTACTAGCCCATATTGTATGCTGCACTGTTGGAGGAGATTTTCATTGTCAACAATTTAGCTGTAGCTATTGTGCATATGACAATAAAACCCCTGTAATGACGTTGCACTTGTATACAGTTGGCTGAAGAAGTAGATTTTGCTCAGTTTCTGCTCTTACACCACACCACCACCACATGAATTACATAAATAAGGTTAACGAGAACTCAAATATGAAACTATAACTATATAATCTGTTTCATGAGGTGGATATGATTTTTCGTATTCTGGGGCCACTGTCCCGATCACAGTCTCCCTCTTACAGGAGTTCAGTCACAGCCTGCGACGTGGTGCAGCTATTCCTCAGGAATCTGCTAATTCATAGCCTGGACTGCTCTTAATTCTTATCATCTATTTAAAATGTCCATAGTGTATTTATTCCTGCATTTTATTTTCACCATTGTGCACTATTGTATGTCTTTAGTATCTTGTACGTTCCACTGTTGTGGGAGATTATTTTTGCCAACAATAATGTTGTAGCTATTGTGCATATGGCAATAAAACTATATATCTTTGAATGATGTTGCAATCCACTGAAGTTCATGGGAAACAGTTGGCTAAAGAAGTGTATTGGGATTAGCTTCTGCTCTTAAACCATGCACTCCACCACCACATTTAATATATAAAATAAGATTTAAAAAAAGAGAAGTAAAATATATAATAAGTGTCAGAAGGAGGATAAATACCAACCAAAGGGATTGTTTATAACCTAGCATCTTATTAACGGCTTTTAAGTGATCAATTAAAGGCATTACTAAAATATGTTTGTCATTAATAAAGCTATTGTTTAAACCTTTGAACTTAAAGGTGGGGTATAGGTAATTCACTTCAGAAACACTTTTTGTTATATTCCATGGAAATGCTCTTAACATCCCAATAGCAATGAATATATTAAATGCTTTCACAACAAATACATTGAAAAATGTCATCTGTGGAAGACGTAGTACTGTAAAAAGCACGACCAATCATCTGAGCCGGCCCGGCTAAAATAACTGGATGGCCTACCTGCCTGTCAGCCTTCCATCTGCACAAACTTATCTCGTGCCCTCATTGGTCATGTGCGCGTTCGTGTGTGTTGGAGGAGGGGCTCTGTAAGGAAGTCTGAAGGAAGTGGCAGATTTTTTCCGGTTGTGTACTTTCAAATTCTAGCCCACTCGAGCTGGTTTCTCCATTCTTACCTACCTTTAACATGGTTCCTATATGATAGAGTATTG